ATCATCCTTTCTCCTCTCAATCTGCCCCTCTTTGTACGGGAGGAGTGCATAATTAGGTAGGAAGAACACAAATTCTCACATCCAGAAATTTTTCCCCCTTAATTCCTTTGTCTTATATTAAGTGTAGGTACAATAAAGATTGATGGGAGTGGAACTAACCAAGTTGTGAGCAGTAAAAGACAGAATAAAACGGGCCAAGGCAGCAGTTCTTAGTTTCCCTAAGGGCAAAGGAAAGAAATGGTGAGAACAAGTTATTGGGAAGACAGTCCAGTCTGCTACCAATGGCCTCCGTAAGCCCAAGGGAGATGGGTGCAGAGGTGCATTATGCAAAGGGCCATTTTTATATTCAGAGTATTGCATGTGGGACAATTCTTCCTATGAAATGTTTCAAGCATAGAAAAAAAGTTCGGAGAATAATTTAAGGAACAAATCGTCATAGAAAAAGTTGATAACGCCTGCGTACTCTCCAACATTTCATTTCTCAAGATCTCTTCCCCCTATTCTGAATTCAATGCTTCACTATTCATTACATGTTTTTTGCTTTTTCTATAAATTAATATGTTCATAAAGAATATATACTATTTTTAGATACTTTCAACTTCATAAAATATAGGGGCAGTTTTTTGGATTAATATTCTTTTATATGATAAATTGGAAGTATTTCTTCATTTCCAATCCAAAATAATTATACGGGAATTAAAATAGAATTTTAATGGATTAGTTATATTTATTAATTCCTATCTTATAATCTTATCTATAATAATTTTAATTAGTACATTCTTATTCATAATGAATTAAAAACTAAACTGGCAATGATACTGTGATGTAGATAACATTACCTTGTTTTACAGATAAGAAAGTAGGTTTGCAAAACTAAACAAATTTCTCGTGCTAGTACAGTAGATAGGAGGAGGCAGCAACAGGATTTGAACTTGGATCAGTCTGATCCAAAGCTGATGCTCTAATAGATGGAAACTCTTGCAAACAGCCAGTAGTTAATGGGTGAAAGATGGAGATGTAAGTAGAGACAATCTACTTAGTCAAGGCAATGAGGATGCCAAAAGTAGCCAATATTGGGAAATCTATGTATCTTGGTCATGCATTGGGTAAGCTGTCAACATTTTTTCACTCATTCATTCAAGAAGAGTATCCTACAGTGAATTGTACTGTCTGCACCTCAATATTCTGCTCTGCTAAGAGAGTATAATGAGAGTAGGAAATGATAGGTGTACAACACTTAGAACAGTGCTTAGCCCATAGTGTGGACTCAATAAATGTTAGCTAATCTGCAAGTATTTAGTCTACCTAGTCCACAAAGATGTATGAGGGCCTGGTATGTATAAATCACCAGGGTTACAATCATGAGACATGTTAGAAACACTGACGATGAATGTGGTATGATTTTTTACGGTCTATGTGGGCAACAGGTATTACACATCTGAATTCATGTGCAGCATTTCCTATGTGCTACAGAAGGAGAGCACATGCAAGGAGGCTCTCTCTGTTGCTGGCAGAGAGTCACCCCCTTGGATGGGAACTTCAATAACTATGCCTATTATTTGGAGGCAGTGTTCACTGGCAGAGATGGGCACAAATGAGGCAAGTCGGTCTCAATATTTCAGGCACAGAAGACAAAACAAAGATGGAGTCTCTAAGGATAGACTCCTGAGAATTAGGCAGAATCCTGGTGAGCAGAAGCTGGCACAAAGTCAAGATTACCCTGCAGTAGGGTGCTGGGGAAGGGACTCCCAGCAAGCTTGAGTAGAGAGCATCAAGGGAAGAAGGTTGTAGCACCCAAGAACCCAGCAGGGCACAAGACCTTCCCCCATGGCAGATCTTGCAGTTCCTGAGACTTGGACCCTGTGGCTTAGCCCAATTAATCTCCTAAACTGGGTCATCACCCTGGGTTGCATAGCAAGCAGGAGCCTGGCAGCCAAGGCTGGGTAAACACTGGCATCAATGAGAAAAAGCACTGGAAAGAAATCTGATTTCTTTCAAGTCCTGAGAACAATCAGATTCCCTTGGGCATTGCTTTAAAATCTGTTACCATCCTTAGGTAACTTTACAAAGCAGAGCCATTAAAGAGCTTGTTAAAGGTGCCTCAGCCATTTCCCAGACCTCCAGAGAGATGAAGACGAGGAAGAGGTCTACCTCATTGTCACGGGAAGGACCACCACACCTGCTCTTGCTGCCTGGTGATAAGCCTGTCTGGTCAATGAACCCAGGCAGGCCATGACTGTTAAGGAATGCATGCCTCATGGGAGTTTCAGAAACTCTTCCTGGATTTGTTCATGACCAGGAAAGAGAGGAAGACCCTCAGCACAGTGCCCCCACCCACACTGTGCCACACATGAGTGGCACACATAAGGCTGCCCTTGGGCTATGGTAGCCATGGGAAGTTATCCGATCTCCACCCTCCACCCCACCCTGGAAGGTCGTGCAAGGAAAGAAGGAAAGCTCTTCCAGCATAGCGCACGTGTGGATTTTGTCCTTAACGAAAGGTAGGGGAACAGAGTCCTGAAGTTACTTACTTGTAGGACTCCAAATATGGATTGATAGAGCTTCCAAGTACTTTGTTGCCAAGAAGTTGAAAACGTTTTAGAAACCTCTGATCTTCCATTTAAAAATAATTATTAACTCAGGTCATAAAAATACCACTTTAAAAAGCCGGTAATGCAGGAAATGGATCCTAGTGATATGAAAGTGTTTACCTCTGCCAAAACACCAACAAATCAGGAAAAAATAGTAGGATCAGACTCCATGGATCGTTAATCTTCACATTGGCTCTCTAACCTGACTTCATAGCATATATTGGCATCATGTTACTTATGAAGAAACAAAGCATGAAGAGATTAGGTAGCATGATAAGTATCACACTAGGTGAGCAGAGTAGCTGGGAGAAAAGCTCACAACAGGGACCCTCCATTGCAAGAATACAATGCCCTCTTGCAACCTTAGGCTGCACCCAACTCCTCCGAAGTCCAGCTCCTGACTCACCAAAGCAACTTTCTTCCTTTTCATATCACGAGATAGCCAATTGTCCAGCTTTGTGCACACAATGTCGGTCATGCAAAAAAAAAAATGGGTTGATTTGAATGTGATAGCATCATCCTTTCTCCTCTCAATCTGCCCCTCTTTGTACGGGAGGAATGCATAATTAGGTAGGAAGAACACAAATTCTCACATCCAGAAATTTTTCCCCCTTAATTCCTTTGTCTTATATTAAGTGTAGGTACAATAAAGATTGATGGGAGTGGAACTAACCAAGTTGTGAGCAGTAAAAGACAGAATAAAACGGGCCAAGGCAGCAGTTCTTAGTTTCCCTAAGGGCAAAGGAAAGAAATGGTGAGAACAAGTTATTGGGAAGACAGTCCAGTCTGCTACCAATGGCCTCCGTAAGCCCAAGGGAGATGGGTGCAGAGGTGCATTATGCAAAGGGCCATTTTTATATTCAGAGTATTGCATGTGGGACAATTCTTCCTATGAAATGTTTCAAGCATAGAAAAAAAGTTCGGAGAATAATTTAAGGAACAAATCGTCATAGAAAAAGTTGATAACGCCTGCGTACTCTCCAACATTTCATTTCTCAAGATCTCTTCCCCCTATTCTGAATTCAATGCTTCACTATTCATTACATGTTTTTTGCTTTTTCTATAAATTAATATGTTCATAAAGAATATATACTATTTTTAGATACTTTCAACTTCATAAAATATAGGGGCAGTTTTTTGGATTAATATTCTTTTATATGATTTAAATATATATTTTATATAATTTGAAAATTATACAGATTTTATATGATTTGAGCATTCATAATTTTAATATTATATATTTTATATCTACATAGTATATATATTGTGTGTTTTACAGTATATGTAGCTCTGGTTCATTTTAACTGCCATGTGGTATTCCAGTTATGAATAACACTTTATCTGTTTTGTACCAGGACATTAAAGTTGTATGTGAAAATTTCTCTAGTTAAAAGTTTAGAAGATGATTTGCTATGTCACAGGTTATGAATGTTTCAACTTTGCTAGATTTTAGAAATTTTTTCCAAAGCAGTTATGTCATTTTATACTCCAAGCCACATTGTGTGAGTGTATCCATTTCTCTATAATCTTGAAAATACTTGCTTTGGCCAGATTTCTAATGATGAGTTCAAAATAAACCTCATTTTACCTTGAATTTGCTTGTTCTGGTTATTGGTGTGGTCAAATATATTTTCTATGCTTATTGACTACTCATATTTCCTCCGTCATGAATTGCTTGCTTGTGTCCTTTATCTATTTCTCTATTGGGTTATTTGTTATATTGTTATTGATTTGGAGGATTTACTTATATATTCAGGTTTTAGCCATTAGTTAATCATTGCCATCATACAATGTGACCTGTTCTTAAATAACTAATTGGATCTCTGGAGTTTGCCTTGCATAAAAGTTTTAACAGGCCAAGTTAAAGCCAAGGTATAGATAGGAAAGTTGATATTTTCATGAATATGTGAGTTCAGGAAAAGAATTATGAGTGCTAGTTTTTCATCATTTTTTTATTTGTTTTTCCTCCCAAGTTCAAGTAATTAAAGTATAGGCCTCATAGCTTTGTGCTTGATAAAACCTGTGCTTGATTTCAGAGTGGGTAATTTGGAATAATATTAAGGGCCAACTTTGAGAGTAATTAACCTTAGATTATTGGGCCTAAAATAGATGGTATATCTTCCACTGAAATAGAAACTGTTAGAAACCAAGTTCATCTCTAGCCATGACTTCTCATGGGAGCTCATAGGATCAGCTATAGGCGGGGCATTCGGCATGCAGGAAAAATCTATCCCAACTTACCCTTCAAATATTTTACTACCAGGAAAGTCTCCTGTTTATTATTTACAACCCTAGACTTAGGTAACCAATGAAAACAAGAGGATTAGCATAATGTCACGGTAATATCAGGTTGCCTTGGGAATCCAGATGTGAAATCTTAAAATAACTATGGCTATCTTTCTATTTCAGAGGTGTGGCGAAATCTTGTTTGAGAACTCTGATCAGAATGCCAAATGTGTTTGCATGCTAGGTAAGAAGCCTTCTCATTTTAAATATATTAAGCATGCTGATGTCATGTGGAGTTACTGCTGTTCGGTTGCCTTATTGACCATCTCTGGTTCCATTTTGAGGAGGCTTTTAGGCTTTTATGGGTTCATAGACAGCTGTAACACATTTATATGTGGAGCACTTGATAACGAAAAAAGGTTTTGAGTCTTCCAAAATTTTTCTTGTATCATCAGCATAACATAGAATTGAGTGCTTTGTATTCAGAAACCTGTGATGAAAAGGTAAGAAAACTTACATTGTAATTCCTAAACCAGAGATGATAAGATAGATAAGTAAACTATTAAATATTTGCATCATAGTACAAAGCCCTTACTTATAATGCCAGGGAGAAATGTATTTTTGAACTACAGTAATCTGAAGTCAGCACAATAATTACCCATACTGCACTTGTAACAAAATAGCAACATTGTAATGAATAATCATTCATTCTTGTGGGATGATATATCACTAACGTCTTTCACAAACTCTTAATATGTACTATTCTGTTAGGTAATGAAATTGGTATTATCTTCTTCATTTTATAGGTTAGAAACAGTATAGAGAATAAAAGTGACACACTTAACTGCAAAATGAGAAATGGGTCAGATCATGGTATGAAAGTTTCTAAACCATAAAATTGTAGGTCTAGTGTTTAGATCATATTTAAGCTGGTAAGCTATGTCCAATGAACTTTCAATTAATTATAGTAATAGAACAAACAGCACAGATAAACAAACATAATTCTTAAATTTTATTTTCACCAAAATTTCACCCTTGTCCATTCTAACCTTGAACCATATTCATAAACAAAAACAAAATGATTCATGTTAGCTTCTTTCATTTACTCTGACCACCTCATATGGCTGCCTAGATTATTGGTGAGATGACCCAAAAGTAGACAGCAAGATAAACAGAGGCAGAGAAAGATCTTGGTAATTTATAATTTAAGATAATCATGTAATAAATAATGATAGGTTGTTTGTGATTTAAAAAAACAAACAAAAAACAGACACCATATTTTCCTAGCCCTCTGATCTTTTCTTATCTTCTTTACTATTTTTTAAACCTCTCTGTTGCAGTTCTCATATGTCTTTACTTTAATTAAGATGGTGGCTATATAGTAACACATCCATTGGAAAATGAACATTTTACTGGAAGCTCACGAACAATGAATGTAGCATAGCATCCATATACTCATTTCAAATCCCCAATATCTCTTCGTTCCTTTCCCTTAACCATGAAAATGTTTTTAAAATGCTAACATTTCAGGATACTAGATAGATAGATAGATAGATAGATAGATAAAAAGGTAGATAGAAAAAGTTGGAAACAGAAAATAATTACTTTATCAAACTATATATTGCAACCTTGGATTTAGGAACTATCTCACCACCACATCAAATCTATGCATCAATTGGCTCATTTAATTTTCACAATAACAAGATGTGATTGCTTTTGTTATTCTCATTTTAAAAAAGAAATTGAGGCAAATGGTCTGATACTACAGGTAACTTAATACCACCAAAATATTATTTTATTGTAGCTATCATCTGATCTGGTAACTTGAATCCATTTTTAATTCATGATGTTTTTAAGCACAAAAGCACAGCATCTATTTTGACTGAACTTTTCTGTGTCCTGACTCCATTGAAATTTCTTGATTAGCTTATAGCTAGGAAAAGGATAGCCATAGACTGTCTACTGCTGCTTAAAGACTTGACTTCACTTAAAATAAGGTCAGTCATCTTTCCAACTTTTCTATGTTATATGGTATGGTTTATATAGCTGCAAGAAGGCATTCCTGACCACCAAATATGTCCTTACTGAATTCATCAGATTACACAAAATTATCTAAAGTTAGAAATATATTTATATAAATCAGTTTTATATTGCTACTACTGTCATAATAATTATAATTAATTGAGCACTTAATAGCGGCAGGTGAAATCCATCTTAAGCACCTTACATAATTAGATCATTTATTCTAAGTAAATTAAGAGATGCCCTCTCTTTCAAAATATAGATATCCTTGGCAATAGCAGGGTATTAATTAAGCTGCTATTGGTTATTAACCTCGTAGCTTTCATTAGTTTGTTAGATTCCCATTTTCTTAGTGATACAAAAATAATTAATATAAAGGAAAGCTGAGAATGAAAATTTTTATTAGTTTGAGGACACACATGAATAAAAAATGTACATTTTTACCTTTAAAATAGATAGTAAATAATTATTGGGTGTTCAAAGACAATCCTGTACCTAGTGAGCTTGAGTTACTCCTATAGCGAAAGTTGTCTTCTCCAGGAGCTTACATCTAAGACTTACAATTGCTGCAACTATTAATTCAAACATTTATAAAGTCCTTTAAAATCTTAGATATCCATATAAATAAAATTATATGGATATCAACACATATGGCTCAACCTGTTGTTAGTATGCATCTACCTGAAGCCCAAGGGCTACCATTTCATAGGAATATGGAATAAGATGATAAGAAGTAAAGTTGAATAGTTTATCCATTTAAACAAGAGAAATTCATTATGAATACATAAGTCACTAAAACAGACCACATCTTATTTCTTCAAGAAAGAAGATCTGTATTAACACAACTAAAAAGCAACTCTTCCCCATTGTCTGAGGGATTACTTTGTTGCCTCCTTTAAGAGGAACCTAAGATCACGTCCTTATGGTTTCCTGGAGCATTTTTTGAGAAAACTTTACACCTCCAATAGCAAAGGATAAAGAGTCTCTGATATTTTAAAGGAGCATTATGTTTTATAAGCATTGCCAACCATGAATGTAGTTCATATTTTTGTAGGTAATTTTATAACATTTTACGAATAAATCAAAACCTCTAAACAAGAAAACCAAATATGGAAAGCCTGCATTTCTAAAACTTCACCTCTGACCTTTATGCCACCCACAATATTGAGATCCCTGATGGAAGCCAACCGGAGACATCCTCATCTTTAAATTTTCAAGTCCTTGGCTCTCTCCCCCTGAGATCCTTCTCACTGCCCACCCACACTCCAGGTTTGGGTGCCTGCCGGGATCCTGGCTGTGCTCTGGTTTCAGCACAGTTGAGATGGAATATGGAGGAGGGTCTCTAGCCAGGGACTCCCTTTGCAGTTCCTTTCTTTTGCACTGATGGGTCCCCAGATCATTCTGAAAAATGCAGTTTTTGTGCTTTGAGTTGTCTACCTCACGACTTCCATGAATAAGCCATCCTCACCGAAAATCACACTTCTGATTCATTCCGTTAAATGAGACATAAATGTAAAATTCACTTTGAGTTACTCTGAAGCACTGAATTCAATGTAGTTTTAAGTGGGAGCAAATTACCGTCATCTATGGGTCTTGCAGGGAATCATTTCTGGCTTCAGGAGAATAGCTCATGTTGAATATGAAGGTAAACTGGGCAGAGCCAGCTCAACTGAGCGTTAACTGTTTATTCCTTACACTTGCTTAGAGGGGGCAAATGTGCATGATCAAGTTAAGTACCAAATTGTAATGAATGTTGCTTTCTTCTTACATTCAGGCATAGGGCAATGTGTTTAGAACTCCCACCTCCCTGCCCTCCCCCAACCTTTTCTTTTTAATTTAGCCATCATATTTTTCTCAAGTTCAAATTGGCCTCAGAAGCTTATATGATTATATCGAAGGGCACACAACTGTATAGCAAGACTTGTACCTTATTTGGGTATAATGAACTGATACCAAAGAAAAAAGGAAGTGGCAGAGAAATGATCTCTCGTCGTATAATTAATGCATGAAGTATGGCACATTACTAAAAGGATTTTACTTTTCAAAAGTATAAGGAAAACTGTTGGGTAAAGAGAGCCAAGAGTATTTAAAGACGTTATGTAAAATGATCAACGTTGATTCACTTCTCAGTTCATTTGTTAACTTCGCTCTGTGAAATGATAAATCTTGGGAAAAGAAAACTTTCAAAATGGAATTCCAGTTCAGGTTTGGTGCTTTTTTTCTACTTCCTCTTTCCCCGTATTCGTAGAGTGGGATTCCCTCAAACAGTAAGCCTTAATTTCTAATGTATGACATTTTGTTGGCTCAGTTTCTCCATCCTCTTTATCAAGATTTAATTTTTTTCCAGTGTGAAACTTTCAGCGGCCCTGCTCTTGTTTCATGCATCATTCCTTTCATGCTGATGGTGTCCTGACTATTCGAACATACAACAAGCACTTTCTTACCTGTCATGGCTTAGAAGGGAGTGTTCATATTAGTCTGTTTCTGGTTCGAGTTTATTATAAATTATTTAAATGGGTTGCCAATCTTCAGAGTAACAGAAAATCATAAAATCAATATTTTATGAACACACAACATAAGCATAGAGAGACTTGCTTTGTAGTCCTACCTCTGAAAAATTAACTCTGTACTCATAGAAGTTGCTTCATCTCTTTAGGATTCAATGTACAGTTTTCCTTCAAAGTGGAAATAAAAACATCTGTCCTTCCTAGCCCAAGGGTTTTTCTGGTGATAGAATGAGATGTTCTGTGAGGAGATGCCTGTTATGACATCTGCCCTTAATATTTACTTATTTAAATATTTAGCAACTGTTTCATAAACAACAAATAATTGAAAATTTAAAAATTGATAATAAAAATAAACTAGTAAAAAGATAAATTATTTATTGATGACATTAATGGGTGTTTAGAAAAGCAACCAAAAAGCTAAAACATTATACAACTGTGAGAACAATTTTTTAAAATATTAAATACTTTTCTTAAAAATTATGTAGTGCCTCAAGGGCAGAACTAGACCTTCATCCAATACTCATTGTCAGGATGTGCATAGAGCACCTACAATATGCAAAGCAGTATGCTAGGCACTGAGAATCCAAGACCTTTGGGGCACAGATTCTGTGCTTACAGGGTTCACAGTCCAACAATAGATTCAAGTCTTGAACCTCAAAATATGCCACATCAGCTCGAGTGTGACGAATGACATAAATGAAATAAAGATAAAGTG